GTCCTTTGTGAGCACTTGAAGCTAGATGCAGATTTGTCTATCCATTCTATGGCCTTAGAAGCAGATTGGGGATCTTAGTTGCTTGATTTCCCAAGGGAGGCTGACATGAATGCGGTCTAGTGAAATGTAATCAGTGATTTTCTCTATAGTGTCTCTTTTGACTTCCCCAAGCCTCCTGCCTGCCAGATCTTGACCTGCCATCCCCAGGGTGGTATAAGTCTCTCTGTGGACAGGCTTGAGTTGATAGATTTCTCCCTGTAATATGCTGCGCCAAATGACTGCCTCTTCAAATTCTGTATTTCTAGTCTTCTTTTCCTGCAAATCAAGGTGGGTTTTTGACTTCAGCTAATTCTGACACATGCATGGCCAGGAATGATGTGAATGGGTCCTGGTGTGTCATTTACTCAGGAAAGCACACAGAAGCAGGCAGAGACAGGTGCCAGTTCCCACTTCCTTAAAGGATATTTGCAGAAACTGTAATTCCTCTTCTTACACACTGAGACCTACAGACCGCCAAGGCTACTGCTGATCACCCTGACTTTTCTACTCATCACTGTCTTTGTTTAGAGTGACTTTACTGAGTCATAGTTTACATAACACAGAATTTGCTCACTGTAAGCATCCAGTCGGATGAGTTTGGGTTAATGTATACAGTCATGCAACCATTCCATTACCATAATCCATTTTGAATATTTTTATCACTCAGCAAGTTCCCTTGTTTCCCTCATTGCAGTTGATCCCTCCCTCAGCCACTGCTATGGGCAGGCAACCACTGACATGGTTCCTAATATTTTCAGAAGGTTTTACTTTTCTAGAACTTAATTTAAAGGAATCATATGGCATGTGCTCTTAAGGTATCTGGCTTCTTTACCTTAGCAAAATGCAGTAGAAATTCATTCCTCTTGTTATCAGTAATTTGTCCTTTTTTATTTTCAAGCGTTTTCCACTGTGTGAATGTTCTGTATTTTGTTACTCATTGATGGCTATTTTGAATAATGCTTATATGAACATTCTCGTGCTTTTCTGTGTGAACGTGTTTTCATTTCATTTGGATAAATACCTAAAAGTGAAATTGGTGGGTTGAATGATAAGTGTGTATTTAGCTTTTTGAGAAACTGCCAGCCTCTTTTCCAAATCACCTGTACTATTTTGCATCCCTACCAACAATGTCTGTGAATTCCTTGTGCTCCAACTTGGTGTTGTCATTATAATTTTAGTTCTTCTAATGGTTTGGTATTATCTCATTGTAGCTTCATTTTACCTTTGTGCTTTGTTTTGTCTTTAAGCTTTTTATTTTGAGATAATTTAGAGAAGGGCTGTAACAATGGTATGAGAATCCCTTACACCTTCTGTTCAATTTCTTCTAATGTACCTACTCTCAACCAGGGTGATTTTGCCCCCATGGGACCTTGGCAATATCACTTGTCAGAGTAACATTTCTGGTTGTCACATCACTGAGGAGAGGAGATGCTACTAACCCTAGTAAGTAGAGTTCAGGGTGCCACTAAATACCCTCTACTGCTCAGGACAGCCCCAGCAGTTACCTGCTCAAAAACAGCAGTAGTGCCAAGGGCAAGAAACCATGCTGCAGTGTTTATCTCAGATATAAACATGTTACATTTATCAAAACTAAGAAATTACCATTGGCATTGGTCCAATGCTAGTAATGAAACTAAAGACTTTACTTGAACTTTGTCTTTAGATTGTTGTTCTTGCCAGGCATGGTGGTGCGTGCCTATAATCCCAGCACTTGGGAGGCTGAGGCAGGAGGATTGCCATGAGTTTCAGGCCAGCCTGGGCTACAGAGTTCAAGGTCAGCGTGAACTGCATAGCATTACTCTCTCTCAAAAAATTTTTTTAAAAAAAGTATTACTAGATTGTCGTTCCTTTTTCTATTCCAGAATACCATCTAGGGTACCACGTTGTATTTAGTTGTCATGTTTCTTTAAGTTCCTCCACTGTATGATAATTTCTTGGTCTACCCATATCTTTCATGATCTTGACATTTTGAAGAATAGTAATCAGGTATTTTGTAGAATGTTTTTCAAAATGTTTATGATACTTTCTTGTAAGTAGACTAAGGTTATGAAATCTGGGGTTCCACACCCCAGAAGTGGTGTGTTCTCATTGCTGCACATCAGGAGTGCATGATGCCCGTGTCTTGTTACTGGAGATGCTGACTTTGATCACATGGCTCAGGTGTTACCTGTAAGGCCCATTGTGATCTATATTTTGCTGAAGACGTGACATTTCTTGGCTTTTTAATGTATATGGATACATTTGTACATGTGAAGTTAAAAATCTTTCACATTTTAAAAAAAATGACAGCTTTATTGAGGTTTAATTTCTGTATCATACAGTCACTACCTTGAAGTATACAAGTTGATAATTTTTAGTAGAGTCACAGAACTGTGCAACATCACCACAATGGATTTAAAAACATTTTTTCACTTCTCAAGAAGAAATCCTGTTTCCATTAGCAGTCATTATCCATTCATCCTCAGCCTCCTAATGTAGCCGTAGGCAACCACTAATCTACTTTCTGTCTACAGTGATTTGCTTATTCTAAACATTTTATAGAAATGTAATCTTGTAATATGTGGTCTTAGCAGGACATGGTGGCACATGGCTGTAATCCCTGCCCTCTGGGAGACTGAGGCAGGAGGATTGCAAGTTTGAGCCCAGCTTGGGCAGTTTAACAACTAAGCAAGATCCTGTCTCAAAATCAAAAAAAATTAAAAAGGCTGGGGATGTAGCTCAGTATGAAAGCCCTAGGTTCAGTCCCCAGTACCAAACCCAAAGCCAAAACCAAACAAAACAACAAATAACGTAGTCTTTTGTGACTTTTTACTCAGCATCCTCTTTTCAAGGTTCATCTATGTTATTAGCATGTGTCAGAACTACAGTCCTTTCTGTTGCTGAACAAAATTCCACAGAGTAGATATATTGTGTTTTATTTATCCATTTGTCAGTTGATAAATATTTAGGTTGTTAATCAGCTTTTGTTGGTTATGAATAATTTATGAACACATTTTTAAAAATTGGGCTCCTTGTTATTGAGTTGTAGGAGAAAAAGAGTGATTTATATATTCTGTATATATCTGAATTGTCAGATATTATCTCTAGTCTGTTGCTTTTTGTTGTTGTTGTTTTGTTTGTTGTCTTAATGACTAATTTTAGAAAATTAATCTTAGTGATTAATTTGGCAAAATTTTTTAGTTTTGATGAAGTCCAGTTTACACTGTAATTTTTTTTAAGGTTTGTATATTTTAGGATCTCAGAAGAACTGTAACTTAACATCACAGAGATTTTTTTTCTGTTTTTCTTTTCTTTTCAGGAAGTTTTATGATTTATAATTCATTTTGAATTAATTTTTGTCTATGTTAAGAGGTAAGAGTTAAGGTTCATTTTTTCCCCCATATGAATATTTATTTTATGAATATAAAAAGCACCACCTTTTGAAAAGATTATCTTTTCCTTGTTCCCTATAGTAAAAAATCACTTGATGATGTATGTGTGGGTCTATTTCTGAAACCTTACATTGACTTTTAACTATTTCTCATGCAATTTTATTAGTTTTTGCTACATAGTTTGAAACTCTATTCGTAAGTACAGAAACATTTTAAATTATTATGCCTTCTTTATAAGTTTAACTATAAACTGACTATCCCTGCAGATAAGCTTTATCTAAATAAACTGATGATCCCTGCAGATAAGCTTCATCTAAAATTCAGCTTTCTTTTGACTACTGTTAGAATATCTTTTTTCATCCTTTAATTTTATTTATTTGTTTTTCAGGCAGGGCCTTACTAGATAGTTCAGACTGTCCTGGAAGGCAGCATGCAGCCCAGGATACTTGAAACTTGACATCCCCCTACCTCAGCCTCCTGAAGTGCTGAGATTACATTTGTGCACTACCATGCTTGGCTCATCCTTTTATCTTACTTGCATTTTTATGTTTAAAGTGTGTTTTTTACAAGCAATGTCTAGTTAAGTTTTTTTTTAATACATTGTGTCAATCTTTTTATTTTTTTTGGAAAGTTTAGAACATTTACATTTAATGGAGTTACTGGTAGGTGGCTCAGACCATGCTTTCCTACAGAGACAAGAGACAATTACACTTTCTCCCCTGCTGGCAAGAGCCATCTCTGGATTGTGTAAGGCACTCAGTTCCTCTGCCCCTTACACACTCTAGGGCCTCAGTCAGTACTCTGTCCTTTAGCCTTCAGGTTGTCTCTGCAAAGCCTGTCTGTAGCTTTCCTTAATCCTTCAAATCCAGCTTTGGAGGTCCTTCTCCTTTTATGGTTTTTGTGTTTAATCAGCACAGAAAGTTGGGAAAGTGAAAATACTAGGTAGAGAAATGTCTGAATTCTAAAAATTAATTAGACTCTTACAGTCTATACTTTCTCATTCCTCAATCATTAACAGAACCACCAGATGCCTCCCTGGGCCTTTTCCTTTTCCTTGCTTAATTCACTCCTACTGTCAAGGGCTTTTCTTACAAGTCTGTCTGGGTCTAAAGAATTAGCAAAGTGAAGAAATGGTTTTCCTTTATCTCAAGAGGAGCTGAAAGTGGTAGTGCACACCTGTAATCCCAGCACTCAGGAGGCAGAGGCAGGAGGATCACTGTGAATTTGAGGCCAGCCTGGGCTACAAAGTGAATTCAAGGCCAGCCTGAACTGCATAGTGAAACCTTGTCTCAAAAAGATAAAACAAAACAAAACAAAAACAACAGTAAAAAACAACCAAAAACTAAAACCTCAGAGCACCATTTGAAATTCTAATAACTGCCAGGATTGAGGATATGTGTTCCCAGTTGCTACAGGATTGCAACCCAAATTGGAATGATGGTGTTTGGTTAGTCCTTGATGCCCTCTGTCCTCCTGCACTGAGATTGTCACTCTCCTTTGCTCCATGTATCTGTTCTTAGCACAGTTCCTGGAATTTAGCGTCATTTAGTTAATGTCACCCAAATTACTGATCATTTTTTGTCTCCATAGTCAGATTATTGCCAGAGGACTGCTTGATATCTTCCGGGACTTCAGTAACAATGAAGAAGACTTCTTAACAGTAATGGAAATTGTAGTCAGATTGTCAGAAGACGCAGGTTTGTGTAATTACTGTGTAATTTTACTTTTTACTTGAGAATTCTAAGAAATTTTGTATAATCAGTAGTAGCTAAATTTTAAAAACTTGTTTATTAATCTACCAACTTTAAGCAATATCTGACCATCAATGGGTTTTGTCATGAAGAATGGGCATCTTATTTTAAAATGACTAAATTGTTCCTCTTTTTTTTTTAAAGAAAATTAGAATGACTAATGCTATGAATGCCGTTTACCCTGGCAGTTAGGCCTTTTGTATTTCCTGAGTTTTGCCAGACTATTTGTTGCTAAGAAATACCCAATCAAAAGAGGTGCTTTGGATTAGAACAATCCCAATCATTAGTTTCTCTCACCTGTGATCTCTGTGGGCTAATCTTGATTTTTCTTTCTTTCTACTTCACCATGATTGCTGTTCTGGAAGAAAAGCACATTGCTGTACAGCAGACGCTATGGCATTGTCTGCCCCCGCTCCCCCAGTAACGACTGCAGATGAATGAGTAGTGGGTTGCCCATACTGGCAGCTGCTCTGTAGCCTGCTTCCCTGGACTCATAGTGAATGGCTAGCTGCTTCAGAAGGTTTTGGAGATCATAGGCCTTAGGATTTGATCATTTTAACTGAAAATAGAAAAGTAAACCTTCCATATAATTCCCATATTAGTTTAAAATATTCATATGAATACGACACAATACTTTTAAAAAGACCCAAGTGGATGTTTTGAGTCTTTAAATGGATTCTCTTTGTAAATGAGTCACCATTTACAGTGCTGCAGCAATTATATATTTGTGTTAAATTTAATGTGGTATATTGGAGCTAGAGCCGCTCTTTTGTTTAATGCTTTGCCTTGGAAATAATTGGGATGTGTGGATTATGGGGGAGTGCATTTATGAAAGAATTATTTATAATGTATACATTCTGGCTGGAATTTAAATAAGCACAATCCATAGGTCTCACATATAAGCCATTAGTTGTAATAGCTTTTGGATGCTGGCCCAGCATGCAGACTTCTTGCTCCTTCCTCGATTTATATATGGCTCGTTATAATAGAGTTGTCATTCTCTCTTCTTTTTATGTTTTTATATTGCAATATAGCTTATTAGCTTTTTAAGCCTGTCGGTAGCATAAATACTCTAAATGGGAAATGATTTTTAAACTGCATTTGTCTAATTTCCTTGATGAAGTATTTTAGTAAGAAAAGCTAGAAACTATCGGTATATACTATATAAGATGCTTGGCTTATTCTTAATATAAATCTTTTTCTATTTTCTCTTGCTGTAGAGCCCACAGTGCGGACTGAGCTGTTGGAACAGATTCCTCCAATTGCTACATTTTTACGAGAAAACAGACCAGACTTTCCAGTAGTGTTTTCTGAATATCTCATACCTGTGGTAGTAAGGGACCTTACAGACCCAGACAATCAGGTTTGAGAATTGTCACCTTAAGATTTTTTGTTTGTTTGTTTGTTTTGTTTTTCTTCCGGTACTAGGAATCGAACTCATGACCTTGTGCTTACCAGGCAGGTGCTGTGCCACTGAGCTAAATCCCCATCCCCTCACCTTAAGATTTTCATACTTGTTCAAAATGCAAGAGGCTCTGAGTTCAATCCTCAGTACTGGAAAAAAAGAAAAAGATAGCTTAAATAAATTTTCTTCAGTCTTAATTTAGCTGACATTCATAAGTTAGAAAATGCTTCTTGCCACTAATTGATTCAGGGACTAAAGTTCTGTTTGTGTCCAACTCCTCTCATCATATGGGAAGATAGGCAGCACTCCTTCTTCTGGATGCAAGATTTCTTGTTTTAATTTTTTCTTTCTTTCTCTCTCTCTCTCTCTCTCTCTCTTTTTTTTTTTTTAGGCAGGGCCTCATTATGTAGTTCAGGATGGCCTTGACCTCACTGTGTGCCCAGGCTGGCCCAGAACATGCAGTCTTTCTGCCTCAGCCTTTCAAGTGCTGGGATTACAGGTGTGCACCACCATGCCCAGCCTCGTTAATTTTTTATCGTGGAAGATTTCTAACACATACAGCAGTAGAGATAATATTAAGATGAATGCTCAAGTACCCTTCATCACTTCAGTAATCATTAACGTTTGATCAGTGGTTTTTATCTTACCTAGATAAAATCTAGCACAGATAAAAGCTATCTGTAGATACTCTGTCACTTTAGTTGTAAATACTTTAATATGATTCTCTAAAAAATAAAGACTTTTTAGAAAACGTAATGATAATGCTATTATAATTATAAAAAATAGCAATAGTTACTTAATATCATATCTAGTCATTGGTCAGATTGTCCCAGTTTTCTCATAAATGTATTTCCTGCAGGTGATCTGTTCAAATCAGAATACAAAGGAAGTCCACAGGTTGAATTTGGTTAATGTATGAATCTTAAATCTTTTTGATGATCAAATTGCTCCAGAGTTGACCAATGGGAGCCCTTCAGTTGGCTCCAGAGTCTTTTTGACAAGACTAAATAGACTTTGATAGTGCACTTCTACCAAGAGTTGATCATTTCTCCAAGGGGCCCAGGTTCCTTTATAGGGAAAATGATAAGAAACCAGAACATAGGTACTGGGGATGCTCAGAGCTGTAACAGTGAGACTGCTTCTAGGGACAGAGCAGTTGCTTTTTTTTAAATAAAATCCTTCATGAATTTATGTATTGATATTTCCAACTCAAATTTAAGATTGTATGGCTTTTACTTAACTGTCTTGATTTTATAATTGTATTGTTTTTTTCCAAAATGATACATAATATAAATGTATTATCACATGGTATAAATCTTGCTTCTTAATAACATGAACGTGTATATTCAAAATAAAAATGCTGCTAGTCGTTACTAATAGTGTTACAGGATTACTGAATATAGTTTTAGATTCCTTTGGAGTTCTTCTGTCTTTAGGCCACTGCCACTAGAGACACAGTCACATTTATGTTACTGTGCTTTAAAAGCTTAAAATCGGGGCTGGGGATTTAGCTCAGCGGCAAAAGTGCCTGCCTGGCAAGCGCAAGGTCGTGAGTTCGGTTCCCGGTACCGGAGAAAAACCAAAAAACCAAAAAAAAATAAAAATAAAATAAAATAAAATAAAATAAAATAAAATAAAATAAAAGCTTAAAATCACTTGCATTAACCTTCTCTGCAGTTAAATCACCAGCTTCATAGCGTTACGTTTATTATTATTGTGTGTTGTATGTTTTCTTCCCTTTTTCTTTTCTTTTCTTTGTTTTTTTTTTTTTTTTTTTTTTTTTTGAGAAAAGGTCTTTGTTGCCCAAGCTGATGTTGAACTTCTGGGCTCAGGTGAGGTTACCTCTCCTGCCTCAGCATTCTGAGTAGCTGGTAGTATAGGAACATACCACTCTTAATTCCCAAATCAAAACTCTAAAACAAAATATATTTGGAGAAGTCTGACTTCATTTTCTATTTCTCTTACTGTTCTCTCCCTGCTCTCTAGGTAGCCATTTCCTTTAGGTTTTGGCTTATTCTCATCTGACCATTCTCGAGCAGTCCTCATGCTCCATAGCCTTATTTTTTCTCAGATGCATGATGCCAGACCCCACTGCTGCTCTGCCCTGCTTTCCCCTGTCATATGTACCCCAAACTGCAGACCACAGCCATCTAAGGAGCTTTGTTTTGCCCCCTTTACCCACAGTGTCATACTCCATGGGGGGGGGAGCAGAGTATAGTCTAGTCCTTTGCCTCTGTAAAATTTCTACAAGGAATTACCTTGCATGATTTCTGTTTGTGTCAGTGTTTTTGAAGTTGGCTTTCCACAAAGGGTAAACACACTTAATTTTTAATGATATGGCATATTTTCATTATTTTCAAGACATTCTAAAATTTTGGTTTGTATTTCTTCCTTTATCCAAGGTGTTTTTTGTTTTTTTTCTTTAAATGAGCAGGCACTCATTTTTAATTGTTAAACAGAGTGACAGGATTAAGTGAAGTTTTCAAATAAGGAAAAAGTAATTCTGTTTCCACTCTGCTAACATGAGTATTTTGATTATTTTTACATTTTCCTCTCTAGGTGCTTGCATTTTTCCCACATGGTTCTAATCATAATGTGATGCAATTTCTTCCATTCATTCATTTACTCTTTGACAGTTTCTGAGTGCCCATTAGGAGCCAAGCATGTGGCTTTGTGCCTGGGGATAAGGAGATGAGCAAGACAGATTTTCTGACCTCCCAAAACGCATCTCTGGGCCACAGACATTTTTCTCTGTTTCTTCATAATCTTCATCTTCTTAATTGTGTTGCGTGCTTAGATTTTTTTTTTCCCAGCTTTTCTTTCACTGAAGATAGCAGTGAACATTGTAAAGGATACAGTATTGTTCTTCTAGTTTTCTTTCTCCTTCAGAGACATCCTTTTTTTGTTGTTTTTTGTTTCCTTGTCTCACTATATAGTGCAGGCTGGCCTTGAACTTGCTTATGTAGCCCAGGCTGGCCTCAAACTCAAGGCGATCTTCCTGCCTTAGCCTCCTGAGTGCCGGAATTACAGACATGTGCCACCATACCCTGTGCCTTAGGCACATTCTTGAAAATGAGATTATACTGGGTTAGGAGATTGATATTGCCTTGATCTTTGTCATTTATCATTGTCACATACTCTGTTCTAGAAGGTTAGACCATAAAGTGTAGTTTGATTCTAGGATCTCATGTGCTGCCTGACACCTGCTTGGTCTTTCTGAAGAGGTGCATCAGCAGGCACTGCCTGCCACAGCCCCTGCCTGCATCTCCACATCAGCCTTCACCCGACTGCCCTCTGTGCCTGTCACCACCTGGTTCCCCACCACCTGCCATGTCCAGAGCTGCTGTGTCTCTGAGCTTCCAGAGCTGGCCTTCTCCTCTCTGACTACTTCTTGTCCTCTTTCCTCTGTCTGCTGCCCTTGCTTTCCAGCCCCTGGACGCCCCTGGCTTCTCAATTCCATTGTCTACCTTCTCTTACTTCCTGTTTTTCCTCAGCTGGTCTCTTATTCCACCCTCTGCAGGCCATCTCCACTATCACCTCTGTTGTTTTGCCCTTTTGACAGACTGGCTCTGCCTGCGGCCTACCACCCTCAATCCAGTCGGCAATTCTTGGTTGCTGAGCTTGGTAGAATAGAGTTCCATCGTGCATTGATTGGGACCATTGAAAATTCATGGGTTCTAGTCGCAGTTGGGCTTGCAACATTGCTTGACAGTCCTTTTCTTTGTCCCTCATCAGCTGCTTTTCATTTATCCTTGGCAGTGCTGTCTCTTAGACCTTTGCCATTTTTGTCAGGCCCTCTCACCTCGCCCTGCCTTCACCAAGCGGGTAACCTTGCCTTTTAAATCACACACACACACAAAAACAAAACAAAAAAACCAGAGGCCTTCAGTCTTCATCCCCTATTGCAGTGAATGGAACCACCATCTGCTTTATTCAGTTCCCCTGAGCTGCAACCTGGGAACCATCAGAATCTTTCCCTCTCACTTCCCACATCCGGTGAGATCCAAGCCATGGCTCTTTTGTTTCTGTCATAAATACATAACCTTGAGGACTCCCTTTCCTCTCCATTCCTGCTATCTTTAAGCCCAGAGGCACGAGGAAGTCAAGCTAATTGAGCTGTACTCAGACCTGTCAATGCCTGAGGCACATCCCATACTCCTTCCTGTGCTGCCTGTCACCATCCATCCCTCAGCCCTGCTGGGATCTGCTCATTTCTGACCTGCCTGCTCCTCTAGGGCCTCTCCTCTCTTCTCCTGTCAGTCTTCAGCTCACATTCGTGGATGCCAGCCTTTGAAGGCATCCATAGTGGGGGCCACTGACAGTGTCCAGAAGTCCCCATTGAGTTAGGACTCCAGTTTGGCAGAGACATTGGCTGTTTTGATGTGGTGGTGGGTTTGCTCTGCCTGGAAGCTGCTCTCAGGCTAGCCTGATCATCAGCAGTTTTTCGTGACTGCTGAACATCAGTCACTCAGGTGAGGAGACCCAGTCACGGCACTAGCAGTGATAGCCATATTCTTGTGAGGACTGCTGCCACCACTCACAGCCACAGGTACATGAATTGTCACTGGGTGGCGGATACTTTCCTCTGGAACTGCTGCAAATGGTGTCCTTTAGTCTCCCTGCTAGCCTAGGAAGTATGGTGACTGACACTTACTAATTCGTCTCTCAGAGGTGAGGAAACTGGGGTGCAGGGTGGTGGGGTGTGGGTGGTGGGTAATGGCTGACAGGAAGGGAACCTTCTGAAAGTTGGTTCTGGTTTCTGAGGCTTATCTGTTGTCTGTTTTAAGATTGTGAAGGTTCTTCTGCACATTGTAACCATAAACTTCCCTCTCGTTGTCAAATGTGGGCACCTGACTATAGGATCAGGTCTTATTTTCTTTTTTTTTTTTTTTTTGGTTTTTCTCCGGTACCAGGAACCGAACTCACGACCTCGCGCATGCCAGGCAGGCGCTTTTGCCGCTGAGCTAAATCCCCAGCCCTAGGTCTTATTTTCTTGACCTCTGTGATTTAGTAGAGGATCTGGCACCTGGTAGCATCTTAGTGACAGTTGTGGATCTGGATCAGCAGTAAACTCTCCATTTCACCTGGTGGCCGTGTTTCCTCAGCTGTCTGAGCTCCTGCCCTCCGTCTCAGTCAAGTGCCATCGCAGGTTGAATGTCTTCATTTGCCCTCTCTTACCCTGTCTGCCTTGCTTGTTTTACAGCTGTCTCACTGCCCTGTCTCCTTCCATTGTGATCGTGCCTCCATCCCTCTCTTCTGTTTCCAGGCTTGATCCAGGATGCTCCCACTTCCGTTCTCTGCCAGGCTTCTTGAAGGAGGCTCTGCTACAGCCTCTGCCCAGGCTTCTGTTCAGCCTCCGCGGAGGCCTGTCCATGGCGTCCCATTGGCAGCCCCTGAGCTGCGACCGAGGCTCCCAGAAGCTACTTGATGGGTCTCTGGCATGGACTTGACTGTGCTGCTCCCTGGAAAGTGCAGTGCTTTTGTTTTTCTTTTAAATTAGTTCCAATTCTTAAAATATCTTGAAATATTTCATCACAGAAGATTATATAATGAGCACTCATACACATACCACTTATATTCAACTAATGCTCACATTTGCAGTTTTTCCTAATACCTTTTGTTTTTGATGTAGAGATTACGGCTGTGGTTACAGGTGCTCTGTGTCCTGCCCCTTCCATAGGAAGCTGCCATCCTTTACCTTTCAGTTTTCGCAGTCACCCTGCTGGTGATGGTGGCCTTGAGGAAGATCTTACCTCATCTTGGGTGCTTTAACACCTTCAATAAATGGTGTTGGATTGTGCCTTCCGTCTGCCAATTGCTTTATTTTTCTCTGTTTTAGATCCATCAACATTGATCCGGGTAGCTCTTGGTCATTCATTTTAAATGTTTTATGGCAGCTCATTTATATTTTCCCCACAATTTATTTATCTGTACAGTGACTTCTCTCCTTTATTTCTTTGCTTGGTGCATTTGCTCCATTTGTCACTGTTAACAACTTTTGAGTTTTAGAAGAAAGTTACTGGATGCCTGTCAGGCATATAACATTGTTGTACCCAGGCAGTGGGAGGAAGAGGTAACTGAACAAGACCTTCATTCCTCCTGGAGCCCTGTGCCAGGGTCCTGGAAACCCTCCCTTAGCTCCTGGTGCGAATGGCTTCAGTGGCAGTGACAGCCAGCATTCATTTTGGCATCCTGTGTCCCAGGCCTTGTTCTTCGTCCTTTGTGCCTGTTAAATCCTGTTATTCCCACCGCAACCCCGTGACATTGGTAGCTTTCTCTTTCAGCATTTTCTTCTCGTTGTCTCTCTCATCAGGACATTTGTGGCCCACCCAACTCATCTGGGATGACTTCAGAATCCTTAGTTTAATCACATCAGCAAAGACCCTTGTCCAGAGAAGGTCACTGGGTCACCTCTCTGTGTCTGTGATGAAATACCTGGGATAGTCTTTTAAGGAGGAAGGGTTTATTCTGGCTCGTGCTTTCAGAAGTTTTAGTCCGTGATTCGTTGGCTTTGTGGATTTGGGGCCTAAGTGAGGTAGAACATTTATGATAGGATCCTGTGCTGCAGCAAAATCGTGGACCTGTAGCAGTCAGCAAAAAGAGACAAAGACTGATGTCTTTGGATTCCCTGCTATGGCACATCCCCAGTGATGTAACTTTTTCCATTAGGTCTCTCTTCTACCTCCTAGTAGTGCCACAGACTAGAGACCAAGCCTTCATAGGTCTTTGGGGATTCCAAGATCCAGACTGCAAGAGTCCTGTCCATAGATCCCAGGGGTTTGACATGGACATCTCATTGGAGTGTCATTACTGTTCTTGACAAGTTCCTGTCTTTTGACATCTGACTCCATGTCCGCGGTTCAGTGCCTTCTCTTCCGGCCTTGGCATGACCCCCTCCTTGTCCCTGTTTCCTCTGTGTGTCCCCAGTGCATCAATGAGCAGAGTGTTGTGCAGCAGGGCGTGGTGGGTTTGTCTCTCCTTGTAGGGGTCCTCGTGTGTTCTTAGTTCTTGACACATTCCAGACCCTCAACCAGGCTTTGACACCTCAGAGTCCTTGTGGATGTGTGCTTTTCTCTGGTTGCGGCCCATCCTGTCTCCTGTGCTGGGTAGTATGCTGGGCATCACCTTTCCTCATCTGGCGGCCAACCTGAGCGCCATCCTTCCCACCTGGATGGTTGCAGTCGCTGCCTTCCTGACCTTTCCGCACTCAGTCTTTCATTGCCTGGCCTCCAATTCTGTCAGAATGCTGCTGTCAGAATGATCTCTCTGAAACACTGTTTTCCTCTGTCTCTGCTTAGAGGCGTCGGCGTCTCCTTGCCTCTGTGGCAGCAGGGTCACAGGCTTGCCCTCTTATAACCTGCTATCAACTAATCACCTGTGACCCTATCTTTATACTTCGGAGCCCATTACTATTTTTCCGTTTCCATCCTAGTGATAGATTGTATATGTTATTTTTTTTCTGCAAATGGGAATTGTATGTGCTTTCCTTTCCTAAAAACAGCTCTCTAGCTTCTCTGGATCTGTCTGAGTTCTGGTGCTTGCTTACTCCATACCAGTGGCAAAGGACAAGAGTTCCTCTGGCCTCCTCTTCTGTCAGCCAAGCAGTCTTCTTTAGGCCCCTTCCCTGCAGCAGTTACAATTCATACCTCAGGCATGCAGGCCAGGGTTTACAAGGAGCAGGAGGAGGGTGCTGTGTTTTCCAGTCCTATGCCTGTGGAGGAAAGAAGGCACTTTGTCATGTCATCCATTTGTTCTGCAAGTCCTAACAGGAAGAAATACTTGGTGCTTCCTGCTGCCAGGTCCTAAGGGTATTCTGAAGGACAAAGGACAAATAGACATGGTATCTGCCCTCTGAGTTCACCCTCTGCACTGCAGGAGACAGGTGGCAATTATGAATCACATAGGAAAAAAAATTTATGTCTGTGTATATTTGTATGTATATGCAGAAGTCTGGGATGAGAGCTATGGAGAAAAAGTATAGGGAACTTCTCTGAGTATAAGTTAAGGACCTGGCTTGAATAGGCTTCGGGTGACAGGGGCTTTGGGCTGAGAGCAGAGCAATCATAGCATTAGTTAGGCCTCAGGCGCCTTGGGAAGAGGAAGCCAAAGGGCAGGAAGACCTAGTGGCTCACACCTGTATTCAGGGAAAGATAGAAGATTGGATTGGGAGTTCAGTCTTGACCCTGGGAGCACTTCACATTTTGTGTTTCACTTTTTGCCTTTTTTCCCTCCTCTAGGTTAGAAAATCCAGTCAGGAAGTACTCTTGATTCTTTTGGAGCAAGATCTAATTTTCCAGAATGATATTGAAAACAGAGTATGTCCGATTCTGCTGGAACTGTCTGCCCCGGAGAGTGACGATGAATACAGAGCAGAAGCCGTGAGTGTAAGTCTGTTTGGGGAATGCCTGTCAGCACCTGTGGGGACTGTCCTCTGTCTTTGGCTTAGCACGATTTGCAGTCTTGTCTGCATTCCGTTTTGGCCAGCATATTTCCTATAACAAGGTAGCCAGTGACTCAGCCTAGGTCAGAGAAAGCTCACTGTGTAGCTGTGAACCTGTTTTGGGAGCACTGGTTGTTTTAAGAAGGTGCGGCTCAGGAAATCACAGTAACGTGGGAAGAGCCGAGGTAAGATGCTCAGGCTGACAGGAACGTCCTTGAGCCTGCTTGGATCACGGGCCTTGTTTCTCAAACAAAGGACCCTAGCATGGTATGTGAGATAATTTCAGGACAGTTAAAAAAATTTGATAGATCCATGGTCTGTTTTATAAATTAGGAAAAAGGTAAAGTAGTTTTGTAGCAAATAAGAAAAGTCACTGTGAGGAATGCAGATAATGGCAATATATTTACAACAGTTTGAGAAAAGTGTAGAGCAGTGATGGCGAACCTTTTAGAGCTGTCAGTGATACAAATAGCCCACTGTGGCATGCATGCCATGCGTGCCATTAGGTTCGCTACCACTGGTGCAGAGTGTTTGTGTTCACATCAATTATAGATATACCACGAAGGGAATACTATAGCTGCATGTCCTCTACTTTTATAGGTTCTTTGTTTCTTTGTTCTTGAGACAGGATCTCACTGTGTAGTTCAGGCTGGCCTTAAACTCACTATATAGCCCAGACTAGCCTTGAACTTGCAACAGTCCTCCTGCCTTAGCCTCCCAGGTGCTGAGATTGAGGCCCGTACCACCATGCCTGGCTCTACATTTATACTTACTAGTATGATATCCTTGGGTGTGTGAGACTCTACTCACTATTCCATGAGCGTATAATCAGGACTTCTACTCTTTCTTGGAAAATTAGTGGTTGATGAGCCAGTGCTGGCTTTTATTGCCCTTGGGCCAGATGCCTGGTCTGTCCTTGTGTTTCTTCCTCTGTGGCTCAAGAAGAAGTCATCATGAACCTCTTGTTCTTAGCTTCTCTGCCGACCCATGTAAATGGTGATGGGTGAAGTGACCCTTTCTGTCTGCATTATGGAAATGCATTGCCCCAGGATTATTCCAGTATTTTAGGAAGAATTGGTACATAAGGATTTAAAAATCATAAGCTTTGATTGTGAGTAAAGTAAAAGATAGAAGATAGTTGTTTTCTTGTTTAGAAAAGAATGATGTTAGAGAAAGGAATTATTTTCTGTTCCCAAGTACAAGAACATTATATGCCACGGAGCTAAAAAATTGTATTGCAGCATCAGAACATTTGGCAATTATTCTTTATTTATGTAAAAGTTTTCTTCAACTATGCGTTAAAGGTCTGGCTTTTTAAACTAATTTAATTTTTCGCATATTCCATATGTTTATAAGATGAATCAGGCTGAAGAATAATTGATTATTAAAATTCAAATTCTCCAGGGCTCTTTTTATAAATTTCAAGTTTCTCTACAAGAAATTAAATTTATGTTGCAAAATGAACCTGGATAATAACATTTAGCTGGGGTGTTTGGCAGTTGAATAGTGAACTTTGCCAACTAGATCATCTTTTTCATTTGGAAGCTGGTTAGGCGAGTTTCCAAGGTTATGACTGACAACCAAATATCTTATCCCTAAAGACTAATAATACATGAAAAATAATGCTGAGGGCATTTTTGCATGATTTTTGTTTTGTTTTGTTTCCAAGTGCTCCATTCTTGTCAGCAATATTCTTTTTTGGTAGAAATATTTGGAAAATATAACAAGCCTTCCAGAAGCTATCTCTACAAATCACTCGCAGAACAAATTAGTTCACATCAATTTTGTTTTTTATTCCAAGTGAGTGGCTGGTATCATGGTTTGAATATATAAACTTTCAAATGAGGTTACAGGAATGGAAGTGGCCTTGAGCCCCCACACTCCACCCCCAGGCCAAGTATATGCCTCTTTGTTCTCCCCGGCTTCTGAAGGGCCTCTCTTTCTCTTCCCCTGGAGCCCTGGTAGGAGCAGGATGTGAGGGGTCTTGTCTGGCCCATGTGCATTTTGGTCCATTTCTTTCCCCCAGAGCCTGGAGGCTAAGGGCCTTAGAGGAAACACGGCCCCTGGGGCCCAGTCAGCTACCAAGTGAAGATAGGCTGACATCTTTTCAGTGGGGAAATGATCGTGTGGGTAGCATGTGGGTTCCACTCTTTAAGGAGCACAGTGTGTTTTGTAGGACTTCCTGGGAGAGCAGTGCTCCCATTCAGCTGGTCTATGAGTGATACCCCAACACTGTGGAAGCAGTGTATATTTGTTAGCTGGTAACTAGGGAGCTGATGGCTTAAGGGTTGATGGAGCTGGAAAGAGGCAGATTGGGCTAGGTTGTTGTCCTTTGTGTCTAGGCCTGGCACCATGTCTGTCCCTCTCGCTCTGCTCCCTCTCCCTCTTCTGTAGTGCTGGGATTGCAGGCATGTGCCACCATGCCTGGCTAGGGCTCTCTTTGAGGCCATATGGGGTGAAGGTGCTGAATATACATAAACACACACCCACTATGTTGCTTTGGAGATGGCTTCTCACTTCTGAAGATACTGCATATCACATGGACAGAATGTATGTCTTTTCACTCTTATTAGGAGTTACAATCAGTTGATTGTGATGCTAGCAACTCTGGTACATGTGTTATTGGGACAATCAGGGCAGCTTACGTGCTAGATTTGTAGGTTCTCAAATGCTTATGCACTTTCTTTTATGAAATCTTTCTAGATGTCTAAGCCATGTTAGTGACTCTCTTTTATGCAGTCATCAGGGTTGGTGCATATATCTCTTCTGTCATTTAGCAATTGAGTTGTGAAGTTGTTGACTTCTCCCCTGGGACAGCGAGCTCTTTAAATATGGAGGCATGGCATCTTTGCATCATCAGCACCCAGCACAGTGCCAGGCCCAGAGTCAGTACTAAATAAATGTTAGTTGTTGGATGAATGGATTGCTAAAAACTGCAGGAGCTGTATCTTGTAATTATATCTAGACAGGATAAACAGGCCACTGGAGACCAATTATAATTCCTCTTGCTTGCAGGGAGGCCATTAGCATTCTGAGATTATAACTAATTGTCAGAAGCCTATTTTTCTCTCTCAACACGTTTTCACATTAAGGCTTCCTCATTTTTTGTCGTCATTCCTGTTTTTAAGCTCATTTTTATTTGTGCATTTATTTAAAAAGAATGCTGTGGCTATGTGCTATGAAGAATACTTGGCTCCAAGCAACTAAGTGAAGATCGTCCTTCTATACAAGTGGTTCCCAGGGCCACAGGAATATAATTTCTTGTCACTCTGTGTACTGACTTTTAATGATTCTGGATTTGTTTTATACTGTGTAGTAATAAGGTCATGTGGGTATGGCAGAAGGGGAGGAGTGGATGGAGATACTGGGAACTCTTTAGCTGCCTGTTACCCTGGATACAGAAGTCACACATCTTCATTTATTGTGACTGTTACTTTGTACAACTCTGCTAAGCATCACATCAAGAAATACACATTTCCTGAGTTTGAAGACATAGCCTTTCCTTTATTTATATTATGGGGTTGGTTTCTTCTCTCCCACCCCACAGTGCTTAGTGTTTTTCTCCGCTTATCTGCTTGTGTGCAAATTCCAAACAGAGCGATGTGTAGATTGCTTACTTAACTACTGTAGAGTAGCAGTGCTATGTACATACTGAGAATGAGAATTTAGAGGAAATCTGCTCTCCCTTCCTTCCTTCTCTTCTTTTTTAATTTTTTGGGGAGAGTGGGAGAGGTTTTTTCGTATATTTTGGGGGTAACTTCATTTTGTTTTAATTTCAACTTTTAGAAAAGTTGCAAGAATAGTAATATGAACTCCAGAATACACTTAAACTACTGGCATCTCTAGTACTTTATATTTAGTTTCCTTTGTGATATCGTTTTCCTCCCCTCCCCTCCAAGAAAGAGAGAGAGGTTTTTTCATTTGGACCTTATGAGAGTAAGTTGCCAGCCTTGTGTCTCTTCACATGTAAATAGTTTAGTGTTTATACCTTGAAAACGAGGAAATTCTCATGTCACAAATTTTCATAGCACAGTGATCAAAATCAGGAAATGTAACGTGCGTACAGTGCTGTCTCTGATCCACGGTTCATATTCAGATGTTGTCACTTGTCAGGGAACTGGGTCAGAACCCTCACTGCATTGAGTTATCATGTCTCCTTGGTGTTCACTAACCTAGAACAGTTCTTGGGTCTTTTGTTGTAGTAACATGCTGAGAAAGTACAGGCTAGTTCTTACGTAGAATGTCTCATGTTTGGTTTTGGTTGCTGTTTCCTCATTGTTGGATTCAGATTCTTCCTGGGAGGAATATCATGGAAATACTGTATTCTCAGTGCGTCAGGGTAGAAGGCACAAGACTTTTTATATTGGTGATGTTAGTTTTGATAACTTGGTAGGTAGAGATGGTATCTGCCATGTTCTCCGTTATGCTTTTTTGTTCCATCCGAAAGTGTCAAGGAAAGTTACTTGACGCTGTGTGAGTATATTTTTCCTCATCAAACTTTCACCCTTCAGTAATGGTGCCTGTTGATGGTTCTAGTTGGCACTCACTGGGAAGACTGTGCCCGTCTCCATTATTTGCTAGCAGTTTATGGAAGGCTTTCAATTAGGAAGACTATGGTAGACAATTTTCATTTTCTACTGTATATTTGTCAGATTTTAGAATCATTATTCTGGCCTCGGAAAATAACCTGGGAAATATTCTCTTGCTATCTACTTTTAGAAAGATTCTGTTTAATATTGGAGTTGTTTTTTCTGTTATTAAATATTTAATTCACAGTAAAAGCCCTGATTTGAGTGAGATGTTTTTTGATAACATTCAATTTAAATGTAGGACTTCATTTTTATTCTCTCCTCTGTGTTACTGGGTGAGTTGGATATTTTAGAGAATTTATTAATTTCATCTAAATTGTCAAATTTATTGGGCTAGAGTTTTTCACAGTAGTTCCTTATTATCCTCTTAATGCCTATATGATCTATAATGTTAGCACTTTCATTTGTGAGATTGGTAAGTTGTGTTTTCTCTATTTTTTCTTTCTTGAACAGTCTTGTAAGGGATTTATCAATTTTATTAATGTTTTCAAACCAATTTTTGGCTTTATTGATTTTCCTTGTTGCTTTTTTTAGGGATTGAAATTTTTTTTATTTTAGTTTGTTAGTACATGTGTGTAGTACATAATGTTTATATTCCTTGTGGGAAGTTGACACATGTATATAACACATCTTAACTCCTTTTTGCATCCTTTTTCCTTTCCCTACCTAACCCCTCCACCCACCTCTTGATCCTTTCCTTTCTTTTTGGTGCATGTCTGCAATACACAGTGTTTACATTCCTTGTGTGGAGTTGGTGCAGGTGCACAAAACATCCAAATTCGTTTTTGTCAGCGCTTGTCCTGCCCTCCCTCTCTTCTCCCGCCATCTCTTGATCCCCTTCACCTTTGACAGTGATCTGTCTCCCTACTTCATATTATCTTTTATTTTGCTCTTTGTTTTTACTCTGGGTTTCTTGTGTAAGAGAAACCATGTGATATTTAAGCTTGTGTGTCTGATTTCTTTCATTTAACTAAATTATCATCTCAAGGTACATTGATCTTCCTCCAAATGACTTGAGTCCTTCTTTATGGCAGAGTAGAATTCCATTGTGCAGCAATATCACATTTTCCTTATCCATTCGTCTACTGATGGACATATAGGCTGCTTCCAAGATTTAGCTCTTATGAATTGCGCTGTTACAAACATGAGTATGCGTATATCACTGTGATAGGATCTCTTTTAAGTCTTTCAGGGAGACCTTGAAAGGAGAATAGCTGGGCTAAATGGAATTTCTAGTTTTAGCTTTTTGAGGAATCTCCATAATGATTTCCATAGTGGTTGTATAAGTTTGCTTTCCTACCAGCTATGTAGAAGTGCTTTTACCATGCAGCCTCTCCAGCATTTATTATTGATTTTTTGATGATGCCCATTTTTTCTAGGGTAAGACGGAATCGCAGTGTTGTTTTAGTTTGTGTCTCTCTAATGACCAATGATATTGAGCATTTCTTCATGTATTTGTGGACCATTTGTAAAGTGCCTTTTCATTTTGCTTCCCCATTCTTTTGATTGGGTCTTTTATTTTGGGGCAGTCTAATTTTTTTTTTTTTTTACATTCTTTATATATTATAGATGTGAGTCCTTGTCTGAGGAATCGCTGGCAAAAATTTTTTTCCCATTCTGTAGGTTGTTTTTTCACTCTGTTGGTTGTTTCTTTTGCTGTGCAGAAACTTTTAAATTTAATATCATCCCATTTGTTAATTCTTGGAACTATTTCCTGTACAACTGGAGTTCAGTTCAGAAAGTCCTTTCCTCCACCTATGGCTTCAGATATTTTATCTATCTTGTCTTCTTCCAGCAGGTTGTGTTTCAGGTTTAACATTTAGTTCTTGATCCATTTTGAGTTTAGTTTAGTACAAAGTGAGGAAGTGAGTCTAGGTTCAATCTTCTGCATGTGAATAGCCAGTTTTCCCATTGATCCTCAAGTCTGTTTTTGTGCCAGTACCATGCTTTAAAAAAAAAAAAAAAATTCACAATAGCTTTGTAATATAACTTCAAGTCCAAGATTGTGATGCCTCCTGCTTTGCTCTTGTCCCTCAAGATTGCTTTTGCTATTCTTGGTCTCTTCTCGGTCTCTCGGTTTCTTGTGAATTTTAGGATTGTTTTCTCCAGTTCTGTGATGAATGCTGTTCAAATTTTGACTGGAATTGTATTAAATCTGTATATCAGTTTTGGATATGTGGCCGTTTTGACTATCTTGGTTCCGCCTATCCAGGAACAGGGGATGTCTTTCCATTTTCTGATGTCCTCTTCAATTTCTTTTTTCAGAGTACTATGGTTTTCATTGTAGAGGTCTTTCACTTCCTTAGTTAGGTTAATTCCTAAGTATTTAATTTTTCTTTGTGCCATTATGAATGATGCTTCTTCCTTAATTTGTTTCCTCAGTGGGTTCATTATTGGTGTACAGGAACTCTATTGATTTTTGTGTGTTGATTTTGTACCCTGCTGCATTACTGAATTGGGTTACTAATTCTGAGGGTCTTTTGGTGGATTTTGATGTTTTTTTTCTATGTAGAGGATCATGTCACCTGCAAATAATGGTAATTTGACTTCTTCCTTTCCAATGCACATCCCTTTTATTTTTCTTGTCTAATTGGTCTTGCTAATCTTTTACCTTCCGTGTCGAACAGGAGTGGTGATGTTGCTTGTTTTCTTTCTCATAGATTTCTGTTATTTTTTCTGTCTTTTACTTTCTTGAGCTCAATTTTCTTGCATTTTTCTAGCTTCATAAAGGGGAAACAATATTTTTAAGCCTACCTTTTTTACTTTATGTAAAAGTACATGTTTAATGTTTATATTGACCCTTTTATCATTAAGCAGTTCTGACAGTAATCCATGTGTTTTTCTACTGTAATATTAATATAACAACTCTAACATTCTTAGGCTTGTTACTGTTTATTATATTTGCTTATATTCGTTTATTCTCACCCTGTATGTAAAGTGTGTCTGCTTTCATTAGCATATGGTTGGGTCTTGCTTTTGTATCTAGTCTGATAGTTTCTGCCTTTTAATTAGAATGTTCAGTCCGTTTATCTTTATGTGATTATTAATATGTTTGGATTTATTTCTGCCATTTTGCTATTTATTTTCCATTTTTCTCATCAGTTTTTGTTTCTGTGTTAATTTTTTCCGTTCTGTTGGGTTGAATGAATATTTTTTAAGATTGTGTCTTAATTTCTCTCTTAAGTATTTTCAAAAACTACAGCAGTTTAGCGGGGTGTAGTGGCTCGTGAAGGTAGCCTCAGCGCTCTGGGAGCTGAGAGGATCCCAAGGTTGAGCCCAATCTGGGCATCTTAGTGACTTAGGGAAACCCTGTCTCAAAATACGAGATAAAAAAGGGCTGGAGGGTAGCAGTGTGAAGGCCCTGGGTTCAGTCCACAGTATTGAAGTGGGGTGGCTGGAGGGGGGTGAAAACTAGAGCAATTTATTTATTTTATTTTATTTTATTTTTTGGTCTTTTTGAGACAGGTTCTCGCTGTGCAGTTCAGGCTGGCCTTGAGCTGACTTTGTAGCCTAGACTGGTCTCGAACTCGCAACAATCCTCCTGCCTCAGCCTCCCAAGTGCTGGGATTACAGGTGTGTGCCACCACGCCCAGCCTAGAGCAATTTATAACAGTGTCATTTC